AGGTGTTATGTAACATTGTGGTCATTTATGCATTGGCGCGCGATAAATATAATAATATCATAATGTAATCATAAGTAATAATAATAATGAAAAATAACATGCTCAGGGGAACTATAATAATATTAAGTTAGGCCTAAAATTCTGTGACGTTACATAACCCCCCCAACAAGTTGTTAAGGTTGTTACATAAGTCGGAACTGAAAACCACTTGTTGTAAGAAAAGGAGGAACTGAATTTTAGGGGACCATAGACATACAATTAGGGGAAATTTAACATTTTAATGAGGGACATCATAGCAATATCAAATACATAATAATAACATTTGCAACCATAACAGAATAATAAAGTTGGGTTAGGGAGTATAAGTGGTAAGGGTACTAGCATCAAAATAATAATATAATAAAACCTACACATCTGTGCGCACACAGTATATAATAATAATAAAACTAACCAAATATAATTGCCTGACTAGTCCAGGGAGCGACGATGATACCACTAACCACTTATATTCCTAACGGGGAACAATATCATTAAAGAAAACCTAACCAGGGAAAGAGAAAAGAACTCTGATACAGTCTATGCCTTTACTGGGGTCACGACTGTATCAGGTACGACCATATTATGGGGACTTGATATGGAAGGGAGAAAGGGTCTCTGAGACAGTCTATGCCTTTACTGGGGTCACGACTGTCACAGGTACGACCATACTATGGGGACTTAGCATGGAAGGGAGAAGACATAAAAATAAAAATAAAACTATTGTGTACAGGCAAGATAACACGGACCTTGCACTGCTTAGGTTACTCTGGACATTTTAATTTTACACGCATGGCAAGCCATGGTGGGACCTAACATTATGAAGGGGGGCTAACGAGAATGTTCCTGCATGTTGTGGTGAAAGAGCGGTCAAGAGGCGGGGTCTGGTGGCTCCTTTACCCCCTTGCGGGAAGTCACCCTCCAGATCATCGAGCCGCGGGTCAGTGGTGGTAAGTGTGGTTCGGGGCCCCCTACTTAAACGCGCACAGGGACAGCTGGTTTTTACGCCAGCCGTATGTGAACGCGTAGGAGACTACCCGCTAGGCCCCAATGGCAACCACACTCGGCCGACCAAGCCCGGACTCTCACTGGGACGGAGCGTCACCACAACACCGGTTAAATTAAAAGAAGAGTGTCTCAGACTCTTTGCCGGACAGAGAGTAGTATCAGTACTCCCTGTACGACGGGGGCCCTACCGAGCTGGGGGGACAACGAATTCGAAAGAAGGTATAAGAGAGACAGAAAAAGGCGGGGTGTTAAGGGGAAAAAAGGGGGGGACAACGCGGAAGTAAACGAATTAAATGACCCGGGCCTACGAATATTATTCGTACAACTGTGTTGCACAGTTGTGCTGAGCGGAGGCTCGCGCACGGTGGTGACACCGTGTTAGGCAGAATACACCACATGCTAACCCCCCATTTGCTATTGAGTCCCGGGGGACAATTCGTGTCACCTGATAGGGATACGAATAGCATTGATTTGATTCGAGAGAGAAAGAAAAATAAAATAGATTAAGTTATTGTATTATTAAACGGAAGTTGACTTTTGATATTAAATTTGACCAGAAATTGTACTTTAAATTTGTTGTAAGAGAAATAATTTTGTTGAAGGTGATCACACCTGAGGACGCTACATGGTAGGTGGTACATAAGGTTTAAGGTGTACAATATTGTGGGTACCTTTGGGTGTATCATCATCAGGGTGTACAAGTTCATATGCGTTAATAGTTTTGACGTTTTTTATTTTGAAAGGGCCATTGTAGAGGAGAAAGAATTTTGATATTTTTTTGTCTATTTGATTACTGAGCATATGCGTACGGACTAGTACGAGATCGCCTATCTTGAAATGAGTGGGGTTTAATTTTGACATTTGACTTTTTTGACGGGATTCTGCTTTTGTTAGTTGAACTTCTTGGGCTAGAGTTAACTGTTTATTGTACTCGAGAGGGGGATCGCTGTGGGGGAATTGTATGAATTGCATTAACGGGTTGTGTTTTGAATTTTTTAAGAAAAGTGTAGAGGGAGATTGGTGGGTGGACTCATGACGTACGTTGTTGAGTGTCCATTCGATATATGGAACATACTGGGGCCACGTCGAGTGTTTTTGGTGACAATATGTCCGGAACATCCTACCTAGCTCTCTCATGACTCTTTCAGCGGGGTTTGATTGTGGATGATAAACACTAGTGTGGGAAACTTGAATATTGAATTTTTTGAGGGAGGTCTGCCAATACTTGCTGATAAATTGTCGACCGTGGTCGGAAACAATATTTTGCGGAACTCCAAATTTTGGGAAATAATCAGTTGTTAATTTTTTGATACAGATCTTAGCATTGGCTCGCCGGAGAGGGTATAGTTTAACAAAACGGGAAAAATTATCTACTATTACGAAAATATAGGCAAATTGAAATATGCCTACAGGGAGAGGACCATAGAAATCAACTAACAGTTTCTCAAGGGGTTTGTGGGAGAGAATGGGTTGCATAGGACCAGCTATACGGATAGTCTTCGGTTTGCACTTCTGACATAACTCGCATGTTTGCACTATACAACGGACAGTTTTATAAAATGAGGAGAAATAGCATATGTTTCGGAGGGAGTGAGCTGTTTTGAGGGGACCAGTGTGTGCATAATATTCATGAAATAATTTAATAATTGGGATTACCAGGTGGTCAGGTAGATATAAGGACCAGTGCGTGTCATACTTGAACTTGCGGATGAATAATATATTGTCCTTGATAGTATAATAATGATGCCATATTGGTGGGGGGTCAGATTTTAATGAGGAGATAATTTTAACTAATTTGGTGTCTTTTTGTTGTTCGAATGAGATATTTTGAAAGAGAGGAATTATGTCGGGGGGAATGGGAGGTGGCAGAGTATAATGGAGAATGACAGGGGAGTCCTTAGGGGGTTGGTCATCTCGACCGAGGGGGTGACGAGAGAGGGTATCGATAGGGTTATCTTTACCGGGGCAATGATGAATTTGGAGGTCGAACTCTTGAAGGGCAAGAGTCCAACGGGTCAGACGATTATTTTTTAATTTACAGGAGAATAAGAATGTTAATGCTTTATGGTCGGTGAATATTTTAATGGGATGTCCTAGGATATAGATCTTGAATTTTTGGCAAGCAAAGAGAATCCCCAACAGCTCCAGCTCGGTCACCGTGTAGTTCCTTTCGGCCCCACAAAGTGACCTACTGGCAAATGAAAGGGTGTTTCTTTGGCCGTCGCTGTCAATTTGGAATAATTCGGCCCCGAGTCCTATATAGGAAGCGTCGGTTTGAATGCAGAAAGGGGTATTAAAATTTGGGTGAGTGAGAGATATTTGAAGGGAGAAAGCAGTTTTAATTTTTTGAAAGTCGATCTTATTTTGTTCTGTGAATGTCCAGGGAGTGTCTTTGCAAATTAAATGAGAGAGGGGGTGTAAGAGAGAAGAATGATTTTGTGAGAATTTACGATAGAAGTTACAGAAGCCGAAAAATGATTGGAGGTCCTTTTTATTACGAGGTTCGGGAAAATTTTGGAGGGCTTTAACTTTGTCAGGGTCCATTATCATACCTTTGGGGGATATGAAATGTCCGAGGAATTTAATTTTTTTTTTATTGAAATGGCATTTTTTAAATTTAAGTGTGAGACCTGCTTGGGCAATTTTGTGAAAAATCCACTCAAGGGTGTTGAGGTGATCTTCAAATGAAGGGGATGAGAGGAGAATGTCATCAACATAAGTATGAATGTCATTTGGGGATGGACAGGGTATTGAATAATTATTTAAGGCGGCTTCAAGTCCTTTGCCGAAAGCAGCATTAGAAATGTTCAGACCAAACGGGACAACGCAGAACTGGTACGACCGACCATCATACAAAAAACTGGTGTACTGTCGTACAGAGGGGTCAAGGGGAATCTGCCAATAACCAGAAGAGAAATCGAGGGAAGAGAAAAAAGATTTATTATTAAATTTGGCTAGGATATCATCAATGGGTGGAGAAGCGTCTCGAGTGGGGAGGATAATTGTATTTAATTTACGGGCATCTAAACATAAGCGTATCGAGCCGTCTGTCTTGATGACAGTGACCAAAGGATTATTGTATGGTGAGTCTGACCGTTCGATCACCCCCCATTGAATCATTTTATCAATCTCTTGTTGTACAGCCGGGCGTCGAGAGAAAGGGACAGGATACGGTTTGATTTTGTAGGGATCATGGGGTTTGACATTAAATTTATAAGAAAAGAATTTATGAAGGCCAGGTTTGTCTTGAAATATGTCTTGGAAATTTTGTAAGAGAGAGGTCATTAAATTTTGTTGAGAAATATTAAGGGGAAGGTCATTGAGAGCGATATTTTTTTCTGTTTCGAAAGGGAGAGGGTTGTATTTTGAGCTTGAGGGGGATTCGGAGAGTAGAGGGAGATCTTCTGAGATATTGATATTTTTGAGTGAATTTACCAGGCTATTGGGGTCATGATCTGCAATTAATTTAAAAGGTATTTTATTTTTGAGTGAGGGGAGAGAGATTTCCTTAGTACTATAATCTATGGTCACCCCATTTTCCACCAACCAATCGGTTCCCAAAATAAGAGGAGTAGAGAGATGGGGGACAACAAGAAAAATACCAAAGGTTTCATAGTTTTGAATTGAAAAGTTTAAATAGATTTGAGATTTTATTTTTATTGATTTATTACTTAGTGCTGTTGTGAGGAGTATGCCGTTAAGAGGAAAGAGGGGGATTTTATTTTGTGAAGGGTCAGAGATTAAATTTTGATACAGTTCTTCGGAGACTGCGGATACTGAGGCACCGGAGTCTAAAAGAGCATTATAGTGAATTTTGAAAAGTTTTAAGGGGATTTCTGGACGATAATTTGGAGGGGGAACGATTTCCTGATCTATATTTAAGGGGTGTGTGAGTATCGAAATTTGAGGACTATTGTTAGTGGACACAGGACACGTCCTCATGGGTCTGGTCAACGCTAGTTTCCCGAAGGTGAAGTGGCCTGGTCTGGTGATGGGGGTGATGATTGATTTTGAGTGTTATCCGTTTGAGGTCTATTGTAACTATTGAAACGAGGGGAGTAATTGTTTTGACGGGGAGGGTATCTATTTTGATTATTGTGGCCAAAGGAGTTCTGTTGTGAATTTAGATTTTGATGAGAGGAGGCAGTTTGACTATTCTGGGTATTTTGAGGGGAATGGGCCTGTTGAAGGTGGGAGAGCTGTTGGATGAGTTCATTAGTTGTGACGATACGGAGACCTCGGAGGGCGACGGAAATGTTAAATGAAAAGTGGGATATAATTTGGTCAACCATTTCGGCTTGATCGATCGGGGGTCTCAGGAAACGGGCTCGGTTAATCCAATCCATAGCATGCTTTTGGAGGGATGAATTGTCCCTATGAAAATATGGCCGGTATAATTCATTCCTAATGGCACGTTGCTGGTTGGTAGACCAGAAATGGTTTCTAAACAATAATAAAAAGTCCTGGTATACAGATGGGGAGGGTAATAAGGTGTTATACCAGAGTCTAGCGTCGCCAGTAAATCGCTCTTTTATGTAATTAATTTTTAGTTGATCATGAACCGGGGGCTGGGTGAGGAAATACTGTTCGGCTTGCTCAAGGAATTCTTCGGGATGTAAGGGGACTAATTTACCATCGTAGGGAGAGAGCTTTGTTGAATCGAAAGTTATACCGGAAATATTGGAGAGGATTGTATTGTTGCGTAGAGGGTCTATGTGACGGATTGTTGGGTTGTTATACATGGGCGCTGAGAGATTAGAGACATTTAGGGAGGCGGTAGTTTGTGTCTGACAAGAACTAGCAAGAGTAGTGGAGGTCAGAAAGCTATTAAATGAAATTTGTGGTATTGATTGAGAGTTTGTAGAGACAGTGGGTGGGGGAATAAGAGGGACAGAATTTTGACTTTTGTTTTCAAGAGCAGCTAGCCGAGCACTTTGGCCTTCAACAAGGCTAATACGATCGCCTAATGCTTTTACGGTATCATTGAGTGTGCGCTGAGTGATAGTAATACTTTTTTGGGACTCTTGGGATCGTTGCTGTTGTTGGGAAATGTCACTGTGTATTGCAATTAAATCTGTGTTAACTGAGGATTGAACTTGGGTAAGCTTGGCACGAACATCTATGTCATTGTCGTCAATACGGGCACACAGCTCGTCCATCCGGTTATCTAATTCGCTGAACTTCCGGGAGATATTTTCGAGCTGAGAGTTGAATGTGTCAGACATATTAGAAACCAGCCGGGCTAATGATTCTAAAGAAAGGGGAGGGTTCTCAGTGAGGGATTGGTCGACTTCTTCTGCACCTGACATAGTGAGATCAAAGTCAGTGGCAGGGAGTATAGGGGAAGGATACCGAACAGAGGGGTCAAACCTAACGGGGGGTCGTGTGATTCGATGACCCGCACTATGCATGAGGCAGTATGTGGCAGAAACGAATTAATACTCGCGTATTTTAAAAAAAAATTGATAATAAGTTTAGTTTTCGTTTTACCGAAATTACCGTCTTCGAAATGATTAAAGTTTCTTGTAAACACATAAACAAATGGTGAGCGTGTGATCGATACAGCAGCGGTTGGTGTGATCTACCTCATATATACGTGGTGGATTCCTTCTTAAGTGAACACTCATGAGACTTATATCATGATCTCAAAAAGAATGATATATTTTAATAATCTTAGAAAATATAATTTCCTTAACGAATTCAATTTTATTAAAAACCAAAATACATGAAAACAATCATATAACTTACTAATTTACTATTATTTTTGATCCCACATATTCAACAGCTGAACTTTTTTCTGATAATATTATTGATAAATAAAAATCAAATATCCAAAGTGAAGTTAATTTGTTAACAACTTTTTGTGAGTCACTCTACTCATCCACTAATTAATAACAGGTGGACATCGGGTACAACTATTGCGGTGGAGTGAGTGGGAGGTTAACGACATGAAATACCTACATACGATAAAAAGAAAGTCTCGCTTCAATCGAATAAAAGTTATTCAAATTTTATAGGGCGCTTTTCTTTATCCTACTTATTTTCTACTTTTCCACCGTCCGACGACGCTAAGAATTAAACGATTTAATCGATCGCCGCGTATACGCATACAATACGAACGACCCTCCCGTGGTTAATCCCACATTCAACTTGTGCAGCATAGAAATCGTTTATAATGACTTACAAGATAATCACAACCGATAGTTATAACAATTCACATCGGAAGTTTAAAAAAAAAACAGTCAAATGTGTAACCATATTACACCACAACTCTGGTGTACGGTAGGTGTAGAGTACTAGAGTGTACATCACCACTGTGAGTATAAATAATGTAATGGTGATGTTACATTTTAATTCAAAAATTCTATTTATTTATTTTTTTTTGTTGATATCGCAGTAGTACTCTACTCGATATTTTCCAATTCGAAGAAAATATATGAATGATAAATATGTATTAATAAGTAACCATAAATTGTATAGATATCTATATAGACATATTATAGTGGTAATTTTTACATTTCATTTTCTCTTTTATCATAAACAAAGAGTAACGCAAAGTCAGTTAGAAAACAAAAATATCTGTCAGAGTTAAACAAAATTTTATCTAGATAATTATTCGAATAAATAAGTATTCGAATAAAAAATTATTCGAATGATTTGAAAACAATATTATTCGAATAAACAATTATTCAAATAATTTGAAGTTATTATTATTCGAATAAAAAATTATTCAAATATTTTTTTTACGATTACTGGAATATTTAAAAACAATATTATTCGAATAATTTGAGATCATATAATATTATTTGAATAATTTTTAAATATAGTAATACTAGTACTAAATATGTATTATAATGTATTATAATATGTATTATAATATAATGATTATAATTCTTCTAGTATGTCGCTACAATCTACATGTATTTAGTATGTACCTTAATAGTAATTATTTATCAATATTGAAGACATTAATACAATTTACGATTATGTAACTTAAAATACAATTCCAACTATTGTTTATAGTATGTGCCTATTTTAAATTAACAAATCTATGTATGTGTGTGTGTGTTAGTGGGTGTAACGATCATTAGGGCGCGCTGTTGTTTTGTAGTGTATTTAATAACGTATTTCCCGAAAGTAATTAATCGTGTATTCGTTTTACTTGAGATTTATCACCGTCGAGTCTTTTTAGTTTAGTTTAGTTTTTTTTTTGAATTTCGACTTCACAATTGTTTTATGCAAAAGAAGTTAAAAAGTGTAACGGCGGTACGCTATTTATACAATATATATACCTATACGATAAAGCAGTATTTTTCCGTCTGGAATGACCCCCAAAAGAACAATTCCTCTTCTTAATGGCCATCGCGTGCGCATACATATATTTTGGAGTAATAATTTTGTTGAAAAAAAAAAGAAAAGTAAACTAATGTTGTAACGTTACGTTTATTTAAAAAAAAATTGTTTGCCTCTATAGAACTGTCTCTTTACGAGTACGAACGAAAACAAATTCTCTCCACACCGAAATCGTACTACATGTGTGTATTGTCTATATTTTTTATTGCACAGTGAATGCGAGTCGTGAAATAACATATTATGTTTTTATTATCCCTCGTGAACAATAAAAGGAATGCTATACCAGTTGATAATATTATATCAATTATTATATCTACAAATCTATATTAATTTTTGTTAATGTCTAAATATGATATCTTATCAAGAAAATCACAAATGTAACAAGCACTTGATAAATATATTACTATGCATTTAAAATGCATTGTTTTTAGTTAAATACTTGTTTGAAATAGTTTAATACACAAAATAATATAGATTGGTATTTCAAAACATTTAAACAGAAAATTGCACAATGCAATTTTTTTTTTATAATCGTTCAAAGTGATACCGCTAAAATGGAATTTTCAACATATCGTTTTTCTATGGATGAGATAGATACTACTATTAGGTTGATACTTGATACATTTATTTTAAGTTCGTGGCAATGTACAATAATAAATAGTGCATCACTTAATAACAAGTTGTATAAGGATCAATAATGTCGAGGCGTATAGTATATAATATGTTGTCTCTGTCTTACAAGCCTACGGCATGGCAAATTTTACGCTCAGTAGATCACGTTTACCCACTTCAATTTTAAAATTAGAGTGAATTGACTTCTTATAAAATTTAAAGGTAAGAATATTATCTAGGGCATCTTTTCAGCTTTTTATTATATTTCAATTTTAAAGTAAACTATGAGCATTTTAAAATTGTAAATTGTTTATACATATTTTAATACTCATAACTCTATTTAAAACTAAAATATAACAAAAAGCCGATGAGATGCCCTAGATAATATTCTCACCTTTCAATTTTATAAGAGGTCAATTCACTCTAATTTTAAAATTAACTGGGCTTAACGTGATCTGCTGAGCGTAAATTTTGTATGTCGTACGCGTGTAAGACATAGCAAATTTTCGTTTGCTAGTTTCAATAGGGTATTGTCAGTTTTGATATTAGAGTGAATCAACCTATTATCAAACTTTTAGGTAACAATATTATTTGTGTTCTCTTGTTGGTTTTTTACGATATTTTAATTTTGTGAGTTATGAACATTTTAGAATATGAATACTTTACATACCCATAACTCACTTAAAAATTAAAATATCGTAAAAAACCAACGAGAGAACACAGATACTGTTCTTACCTAAAAGTTTGATAATAGGTCAATTCATTCTAATATAAAAACTGACAATATCCTATTGAAACTAGCCAACGAACATTTGCTATGTCGTATGTGTGTACGACGGAGACAACACATGCGGGTGAGACGTCCTCTTAATATATTAAACTACATTTACTAGAGGTGGCCAGGTTGGTCAAACTGAAAAATATGATTTTTAATTTTATGTCTCATCAAACCTGTACTTTTTTATGTTTAGTCAAAATGTATATATAAATAATAATAATATAACAAAACTGATTAGAAATGTAGGAACTACACATAATTTTACATGATAAAGAATCTTCGTTTTTTCAATAAAATAAAGTATTAACCATCTTATATACAATTAAAGTTGTGTGTCCGGTCTTACCCAGGTTCCTGTACATGCGTTTCTGAGCCTAATCAAGTACTTAAATATATATTATTATTTATGAACCTTAATTAATCACATTGAGTATATAAGTAAACTTGCACTAAGTCAGATAATGGCTGCGTATCTCTGAAACGTTACCAGTAACACCAGTCGTTGTTAGGTCACTGACCCTGGCACCGCAAAGTTAAAATTTTCTTACAAAATTGGTTTCACAAATTAGTAACCAATTCGTAATAATTCGTAACCATGAATTTGGAATTTGTAACCTAAGTATTACCGCCCAAAATCCAATTTCCATTTGCGGGCGCCAGGGTCAGTGGACTCCAGCACCCGATACTCGAAAAATCGACTTACGGGGTCCGTAACGGTTCGAGAGGTTAGTGACCAATTCGTAATAATTCGTAACCACGAATTTGGAATTTGTAACTTAAGTATTACCGCCCAAAATCCAATTTCCATTTGCGGGTGCCAGGGTCAGTGGACTCCAGCACCCGACACTCGAAAAATCGACTTACGGGGTCCGTAACGGTTCGAGAGGTTAGTGACCAATTCGTAATAATTCGTAACCACGAATTTGGAATTTGTAACTTAAGTATTACCGCCCAAAATCCAATTTCCATTTGCGGGTGCCAGGGTCAGTGGACTCCAGCACCCGATACTCGAAAAATCGACTTACGGGGTCCGTAACGGTTCGAGAGTGTTTACTACTAGGTTAGTAACAAACTCGAAAAACGGTCTTACAAGGTCCGTAACGGTTCGAAACTAGCGAACGAAAATTTGCTATGTCGCAGGTGTGTAAGACGGATACGACACATGCGGGTGTGATGTCCTCTTAAATTTAATTTATTTTCATACATACATTGTTGTTCTATTTATTTATTTATTATTTAATAACTTTTATAGTTTTTAAATAATATCTTAAACAATTATCAGGCACACATCAATTGTATTTTGTTTCATTTGTACATTCTTTATTTTCTAGATTTACAAACTTTCATTTTACCATGTTAATTCCCTTTATCACATTATTAATTTCTTGTTATATTTAAAATAACTATTTTATTTCATTTTATTGTTGTTGTTTGATATAAATACTAAACGGACATATTTGATGGTCACGTGCGGAGATCTAAATTGTTATCATGTTTATTTACTTTTGGGAAAATCCCATGTTATTGCCAGATGTTTTTGTTACACTCACACACTTGCATAATATA